ATGGTTTTGACGTGCTGCCCCAGAGCAAAAAAAATCTCCTAATTCTGGGATTTGGAGATCAATGCCACAGTGGTTCTGCCCTCCAGCTGCTGTACACACTGATGTGAGCCTGAGCTGAGATATAGCAGTGCATGTTGGCCCAGAATAATTATACTGCTGCTGCTGATAAGGTGCTGGTGTTAGACACACATGCAAACACAGTCTTCTACGCACACAAGTCACATGCACACTAATCTGCAATTACACTTTGTAGACACATTCAATAGCACTTATACATAATTATACACATTTTGCATGCACACACACACACACACACACACACACACACACACACACACACACACATTTAGATGTGCTTCTTTTCCTTTTCAAAATCATAACCGTCAATTTGGGTGATCATTTGAGAGCTGTGAGTGTTCTGAGATCCATGTCACATAGATGGCTTGGTCCAAATGCTCATTTTAAAGGAATGCTTCCAATACATTAGAGCGAATACGCTTATTCACTTTCTTTCTGAGAGTGAGATGAGAAGATCGATACCACTTTTATGTTTGTGTGTTACAGTAAGTACAGAGCTGAAGTCACAACGCGGTTAGCCTAGCCTGGCATATTTTTTAACTAACCGTCTAACATGGTTAGGCTTACTCCAATTCCATACTTGACACACAGACAGATGATTGATATCTATCATCTAACTAAAAATCTAAAAAGATTTTTTCCCAAAATGATGAATTATTCCTTTAATGCTGTTAAAGTGGCACTAACGCATGGTGATTTATAACCTAGAAAAAGTTGACACTACAGTATTACAACAGAATAGCAGTAAATTCATTTTATGTACAATACAAAATGCCTGAATTTAGTGCTCTGACTCTCAATTAGGGAGAAAAGGGCGCTGGCTATGAAGTTATACAGTATGCATTATGGCGGCATCTAATTGTAATCTCAAAGCTAAAGACCCAACACCCCTTCTCTCCTCCTCTGTGTGGCTGACTGACAGGAGGGCAGGCATAAGCTGAACCACGCACTCCAGCTACAGTCAGCTACACCATGAGGAGGGAGACAGAAAGAGGGGGAGAGAGAGGGTGAGGGCATGAGAGTTGAGGTATGCAGCACTAGATACAGCATCAGTGACAGGAGCATGTTTGGGCATCAGCTAAAGCTATTTTAGGAAGGAACTGTCAATGTATCTCAAAAGGCATGCCAACAGCAATGATCAGAGAAGACCTACATTACGCTTTAGACCGCCTGGGACTTAAGATAGGATTGGCTTTGTGCTTTTAAGAGGGGAGTGTGAGCCGTAGTGGGAACGACAGTGATGGCCAGTTGAGCTCGGTGGAGACATACATGTGGTTTCCGTTGTTCAGGACAAAACAAAGATTCCCTATTAAGTACACTCCTGTAGCGTTGATTTCTATATGAATAAAGTTTGTACTCCATTCTTTCACATCAGGTGTTGCAGCCAGTTCTACAGAGTCCAGTCTGCAGTTTTGCCTCATCAAGCGGCATTTTGTGTTTTGGTCAGAGGTGTGGGGTTGGGGTGGTTTATTAGATTAGCTATGGCAGGCTCAATAACATAAACAGTAAGAGAGAAACCTGACTGCTCTTGCCATTTAATCAACATTGGCTCTGCTTTTGGAAGATGGCTCTGCTATCTTTTATAGTTCCAAAAGATTTACAGTCTCATAATTTCTCTCCCAGCGAGGGGTCTGTGCTTCCAACTTTGCAGAACTGTAGCTTGCAGTGAATGGCAACATTCACTGGTAGAAAGTCAGAAACCTAATAACCAGTTGTTTCAAACAGATTTGGTAATTATTTTAACCAATTTCAAGCTGACACCATGAGGCTTCTACATATTCATGTAGCCCAGAACTAGGTCTCTAAATTTCCATCCAACAGGTGCTGGTAGTCCAGAAATGTAGCAAGCAAGCTAAAAAATGTATCTTTAATTGCTAAGCTTGTGTTCTTTTTATACAGTTTTATATGACTGATTGAAGACACTTTTACAATACGGTAAAGCTGACAAATGTAAACATGCAAGTAAAGCAGTAGTGATGTTTTACCACAGTAAACACCATAAATGGTAATGCTGTATTTTAGGCTACTGTGATGCACTATCCTCTTTATGTTTGGCACTCTGGTGCTGCCGCGGTGAATGCTCGCTTGTATTTAGGGTTTTGATATATATGCCAGAGGGTAGAGTGTGTACTGTCATGACGGAATAAAGTCTGACAGGATTTTTAAGCTCTGTTCCTGGTAAGTAAATGTGCCAGTTCACAACAGCTGCAGTACTCTCGTTCATTAAGGAAATGTAGAGCTACATCTTCTATCTCTCAGAATTCATTTTCCCGGCATTTTACACCAAACACTTTCTTTTGCTGGGTGAGAGGGGACAGGTGTACCTCCACCCACTGGTAACACAATTTGACAATTAAAATAACATGTTGTTGAATTACAGATTACAATTTTAACACAAACCATAAAATTGTCATTAAAATTCTCAGCTAGTCTCAGCTATGAACTTGTGTGCTCATTACAACCCAAGCGCAGCTTTTTACAGTAATTACAATAATAGGCCTACTGCAAAATTAAACATATATTGTAGCTAAAAGCACCACCATAATTTAAGTGTGTTGAAAGAAATTGGTAGGGGTGTGTACAGAAGTGGGCTTTTCCAACAGTTTGGCTGTGATTGGCTGGCTGTGTTTAGACTTTGTTTGGGATTGGCTAGGCTCAGGGTGTGTGTCTGCTGACCTTAGCCCAATCCATCTTTAAGCTGCAGTTACTTCTGTCTCAAATTAAACTCTTCCACAGTATGCTCTTGTGCAGATCTGCAGCCTGATCACTGGCCAGGACTCTTGCTCGGCCGTAGCTCATTCACCGGCTACCCTGACATGGATCAACCCAATGAAAAGTGTCAGTGTAGCCTGTGAGTGAGCAATGAATGAGGGGGAGTCCTGGCTGACACAGCAGTTGCATTTTGCAGAGGACGATCATTTTGTAATACTTCACTGAAGGTTTATGTGTTTGAGATGCACTGAGCATAGGTGTAGACACATGAAACTAAATCTGTACTGCAAAGTGAGACATGATTGAATATTGTTTTCCTGTTGTTAAACTGGGTTCCAACTCATAACAACTCAAAACCCAATTCACCCTGCAGAATTGTCTGAAGATATGGAGTACAAACATTTTTATGTTCAATGATGCGGCTAAGTGCTAACAATTGTTAAAAGAAATTATATATTTTTGGTTAAGGTGTCCCTTTAACCTCATGACATACTTGTGGTGTGAGTGTGTGTGTGTGTGTGTGTGCATGTGTGTGGGGTGAATCAGTCCATGAGTGGGTATCTCCTCTCTTGAGCTTATTCCTGCCTGGAAAATGTGTTTTAGACTGAAGCCTGATTGCAAACAGCACTGTCATAAATAAATGACTTGATAATTTTAGCATGTCAGGGAGGTAAAAATAGAACATCACGTTGTTATCTCAGATGCCGGATGAACCCTTTATTAAGACATCGGAGTGACTTCCTATTAGCGTTTAACGCTTTATAGACACTGGCAGTTTGCATGGAAATTACAATGATTCTGGATTGGAAGAACTTAAAGATGAGTTTCCGCATAATCACATTGTTTCAAAGATTTCGTCCTCACATTCACCTAACAAAGATGATGAACCCCAGAAGGTTTACAGTGGTGCTCCTAAAGCTGGTATTGGAGAAATGTGTGACACTTGAATAGTTAAGATCTTATTCCGCTCTCTTTTGTGCAGCAGGGGAAAATGGTACTTCCTGTCAGTTTACTTCTACACTCAGGTTTACCACATGACAAGCAGATGTTTTAACAGTAGTAAATGGTACAAATTGTAGTTACATCATTCCAAAAGCAGTGTAACATTTTAAATACTGAAAACACAGGTGGAGTGGATCATAGCAATAATTTGCCAAAAAGTCAGCCTTGTCTTTTAGGAAATATCTAAAGGTAAAAGACCTGAAAGCCTTTGCAACTACCAGATTAATATACAATAGACATAAATCACATTTTGTAAGAGGCCAGTTCACATGTTGTTTGAGCTGAGAAGCTGACCCTGATTCTGAAAGACTTTTGGTAAGAACAGGGATCAATTCACGGCTTCTTTCCTCCCTGTTGGAGAGAAACCAAGGCAGGAAATGTGAGGAAAAAAATTGAAAGATTACAACCTCATCTTTGGACTATAGTCTAAGTTTTTTCTTGTGCTGTGTTCAGACTGTTCATTTATAGAAGTCATAACAGGTGACAATAACTTAAATAGAGTTTCTCCTGAAACCAGGAGCACACTTTCAGATGTCCATGGTGGAAACTTACAACAAGTTGAGAGATGACCACCACCCACTGTTACTGCAGTCAACACTGACTGTCAGGCTTTTGGCACGATTTCTGAACTTAGAACAGCAACTTATCTAACATGAAGCCCAGTACAGGCTGCAACTACAAAGTTTGGAAAGGAGGTCGCCTCAAGACAAGGTTGCTGTCCCTGATTCCCATCACATGTTCTGCCTATCTATCTCTCTCTCTCTGACACACACAGGAGCTGCACCTTAAGACTCCACATGCAGGCGACTTCCTGTAATGATGTGATGTTGCTTATCTTGCTGGAAGTTTCAGTACCCACTGATCATCAGCGCGTGTCTAATCACCAGGTGGAACCTGCTGTTTTAACTACGTCCCTCTATCGCTCTCTCTCTCTCTCTCTCTCTCTCACACACACACACACACGCACACACGCGTTCCCAGCCACGCTTCTCATTTCATTATGGGTGACCGGGTTATGGAGGATGGAAGTGTCAATCGACTTGCGCGCATGCACGTGTGTACACACGCTGACACATTGTATAGACTACACACGCGCACGCGCAGCCAGAGAGCGGTGACTGTCTCCTTACATCACCATGGCAGCTTCAGTGGCCCTTATAGTGCGGTGTGAGTGTATGGCAGGTATAACGGGAAAGCCTTAAACTTACCGCAGTCCTCGCACAACACTCTCTCCACATCCTTCTTCAGCTCCGGCTCGCTGGCGTCCACAGGGGCGTACGATGCTTTGAATACCAAGGGCTCGGCGGTCGGGTCCATGAAAAAGATATATCTGTGGTCCTTCTCCACCGTGGTGCACGGGGCCTCGGAACCGAAGTCCCCGACGGTCACGAGCTGCTCCCTCTCGAGGCCGCCGCTGTTGACGGGCCACACGTCCAGCACTTTGACATTCACACTGTAGGGCTCCCGGGAGGAGACGTTCTCCGGGAAGGAGCGCACCTCGCCCTCGATGACCACGGCTGATCGGTACGCCTGATCCTGAAGGGAGTTGAGACTCGGGGCGTAACAGGCGAAGGAGACCCCGATGACCAGCATGGAGAAATGCACTGGATCAAGCCTCATGCCGTCAGCCTGTGCTGTGCTGCAGTGCTGCTGGGCGGCGGAGCAAGCTGGAAGAGAGAGACGGCGGCGAACGGGCTCCGGCAGAGCAGGCAGGGCAGAGCGGCAGACCTTGTGGAAGTGTCCATGCCATCTGTGTCTGCCGCTGCTTTCCCCATACGGCTGCTGGCCTCGGATGGGGGGACACACCAGCCTAGGAACCGGAAACGGCCCGCTTCTGCATGCTTAAAAATGTGATTGCTGCATTCTCCTTCACCAACCACCCTCCCCCTCTTATCGCCCCTATTCCTGAAAGGCAAAACAAGACTCGTAAATTAGCCTCCTCTCGAATCCAGGGCTGAAACCTCTCACGCTCTCTTTCTCTCTCTCTCTCTCTCTCTCTCTCTCTCTCTCTCTCTCTCACCAGCTAATAGGCTAGCATCGCATGGGTGGGCGCATTGCCTCTCTGGAAGGAAAAAAGCAGCTTGCGCGTACAGGGGAATCACAAGAAACGATACGCACCCCACGCACACGCACACGCAAGGTCGGCTCCTTTATCCACTTATTTCGATCGTCAAAAGAGTCCCTTTCCTGCAAATCCGTTTGTGGCTAAGCAACATAAAAAAGAGACACACAAAACCGGGGAGGAACAGACGGACAGGATGAGATAGCAAGGGTTATCCGGTGAGGCGATGCAACAGTAGCGCGCACTCTCCAGCCGCGTCCCCTGCGCCCCTCATCAAACGCGAGCGGCTTACGTGAGCAAACATCACCTGCCCGGTCACTGGCGTCGGCTCGCCACGTCCTGCGCAAACACCCTAACGACCTGGGCACCCACCGGTACAGCGCCACAGACCAAACCAGCATGTGACCATACCGGTCGACTGTGTTAAACCTAAATCACGCACGCAGTGCACAGACACACAGCACAGAGTGCGTCTGGAGCCAAGCTCTGCACGGCGCCCACTGTGGATCTCCAGTGCAAGAGGTGCAAGAGAGGCTATAGGCGACTACTACACACACTGCGGATACTTGTTGTGATGACTAACGCTGCGAAATTCTCTCAATGGATTCCTCAGCATGGCGAGGCAAGCTGGGAGTTTCGAGTCTTGCCCTCAGACATCTATATGCTCACTGCACGCTGCAAGAGAGCACAAAGTGTGTCAGCACACTGACATTTTCCCCACTATTATTTGAGTCACTGCAGTTCACTATTGTCTTGGGATACTGTACAGTTTGAGGACTCTATGGCAACACGTGGGAGCATCAGTTACTTCAACCTGCGGGTTCTGCAAAGACATCCTACCCAAATATTTTGCCAATCCTGCTCAGCTACAGCTAATAAAACCACTTTTTTTCATTGAATGCATCTCCACCAATGAAATGAGAGCTTTACACACTATACTCGGGCTTTTTATGGTGACCACAAGAATACCCTCCTCCCTCCACAGCAAACCAGTCCCTGCCTCCATCTCTGTATCAATCAATCAAGCCATTCATAAGATTCGCCTTTCTCCCCCTGTCAGGAGCTGTGCGTCCTTCGCTAGAGGTCAGAAAGCCTTTCGATTTCCATGCTGAGAAAGGGATAAGATATAAGCTCATTTATGGGACGTGGACATTTTTTACTATAGATGACTGAGATGATAAAGAATATGTAGAGAGGCCATTTCATCACAGTATGCACCTACATCATGGCTTCATCCACATGTTTGACCATCAGCAGGTCACCTCAGGGACCAGTCTCTGTCCATGGTGCTGAAAGGCTTGACAGATTTAGTGCTCTGTCCCAATAGGCCAATCACATGGCACCTCATGCAAACTCAAGGCCACAGCCAGTTTCTGCAATAAAGGTCGGTGTCCTCACTAAATGTGTCATTCTTTACTGTAATACATTAACCTAAAAGAGTCAACCCCTATATCTGGAAGTACAAACAGATTCAGTGCTGTCCATGGTGCTAAATGCAACAAAACCTGCTGGGTTTATCTTTTCTTAGTCACATGTGGATGGTTCCACATTACTGGGACTCCAGTTTGAGGTTCTCCACAGCATTTCAAGAGGGAAATACAGGACCTTCAGCGTCTGTGATCCGTCCAGTGACCCACCCCTATACCACTCCACCCATTGCCCATCCATTCACGATCTGTTTTTCCGTCATTCATTCAGCCACTCAGAGCCCCCATTCAGAGACCCCGCACACAATTTAGGAATTTCCAAATTAGCCTTGAAAGCAAATCATTGTTGACAAAGCAAACGGGAGTAAAAAAACGATCCCTGCTGACTGACCCCGGGTGGCCTCCACATTGCCCCTGATACTCGTGGTGAACCTGTGGGAATTATTAGAGGGGCTGTTTTTGGTAATGCACCGGCATTTCAGCAGGGTCACTTAAATTGGTCTCTCGTGATACACTTGCAGTCCAAACTGCTCCACTATCAGGGTCCTTAACTGTGATGCTAAAACACTCTAGTTGTAGTTACAAAGCTGTTTTTTTTTGTTACTGTTAGACTTTGTACACTTGTTCCAGATTTTTTCTTTGCAGCCCTCTCTCCCCTATTTTCTACACCAGCAATACTCATGAATAAAAATATTTTTTAAACATGTCTTTTACCAGTTCATAAATCAATGTTAGGATAGTTTTAAAGTAGTTGGTCAGTTTTAAAAGAATTCGGCTTTTATTATTATTTGGTCCATAGGGAATTTGTGTCAGATATCTACTGACACAGTACGGAGAGTTTGCTAAAGGACATGTTTTCATTTCAGACATTTCCTTAAACAAATACTACTGTTAAGTCTATGAATTAAAGCATATGGTGTTGTGCTCCAATTCCAGATGCTATCTCTTATTATTTATAATATCATCATTAATAATACCATCGGCGTCGAATCTCATGAAGCTGTTCCATTCGTATCCGCATTAATCAAGTCTCACATCAACATCATTCTTCTCCTTGAGGTCTGTTTTACCCCCCCAGGCCCATGAAGGCTGAAGACCTCATAACGTCACCTGGGACATTTGTTGTTGCTGTTGTTGGACCGAATATGACCTTTTTTACTGGGATTTAGTCAAACTTGAGACTGAAATGAGGATATAGTGGGATGTTACAGGAATTATTGTATAATTACATGGCTGTATTTTGCTGGTTTTCTAACTTCTATGTACATTTACTGTATGTGAGTTCATTCTTTTTTTCTTTTTTTCTGACAAGTTGATTGTCCAAGATAAGAGTTTTTAATTAAACTATTGGCTTTTTGCTACAGTCCACTGATGAACTAATTTAAGGACACTGAGAAGTCCAATCATAGGGTAATGATTCGTGATGCTTTACAGTGTATCAGCCCCCTCCCTCTGACTCCCACACATCGCTATCATTTACTGTTCATTGAGAAATTTCTCTTTCATCCTGCTCCCTCTCTCCGTCTCCTTCCACAGGGACTGTCCGGGTTCGCTGTCCGTGGTGCTGAAAGCCCCAAACAACTGTCCGTGGTGCTGAAACACTCAAACCAACAACCCTCAGGTATGACTTGTCCCTGTTCTGTGCACTGTTTAGACACTATCTATCTATCTATCTATCTGTGTTGATGTTAGTAGGCCTACTGCAGTGTTTTAGGCTCACATGGGTGGGGGTTAACTTTCAGTTGCAATACACGGCTATACTAAAGGCTAAAGTGAAAAATCTGCTAAACGTTGCAAAAACAGCGCGACTGTCTTGAACGCAGCCCGCCTGGAGTACTACAGTAACACTATCTACAGTTGCTTTCATTTTTTTCATTCTCTTCTCCTCTCTCGTCTCGCGATAGAGCGGCGGAGTGGTTTGACGGGCAGTCGAGGTTGCAGCAGGCAGAGGGAGACGGTGGAAGGTAAAGCAGGGAGGCAGCATCATGGCGGACAGAGACAGTGGCAGTGACCACGGAGGGCCCACCGCAGGCCCCGGCACGCTGCCCCCGGGTGCGATGGGCGCCATGTCCCGGCTGCAGCACGACACCGAGGAGCTCGCCTCCAAGCGCGTCGACATCCAGAACAAGCGCTTCTACCTTGACGTGAAGCAGAATGTTAAAGGCCGCTTCCTAAAGATAGCCGAGGTCGGGGCTGGGGGGAACAAGAGCCGCCTCACTCTCTCCATGTCGGTGGCCGTGGAGTTCCGCGATTATCTCGGGGACTTTATTGAACATTACGCCCAGCTGGGCCCGACCAACCCGGACATAGTGCAGGATGAGCCCCGGCGGGCGCTCAAGAGCGAATTCCTGGTGCGGGAGAATCGGAAATATTACATGGATCTGAAAGAGAACCAGAGGGGGCGGTTCCTGAGGATCCGGCAGACCGTTAATCGGGGGCCCGGATTGGGAAGCGCGCAAGGCCAGACTATCGCTCTGCCGGCGCAAGGTCTCATTGAGTTCCGCGACGCTTTGGCCAAACTCATCGACGACTACGGCGTGGACGAGGAGCCGGCAGAGCTCCCCGAGGGCACCTCGCTCACAGTCGACAACAAGCGCTTCTTCTTTGACGTGGGCTCCAATAAGTACGGGGTCTTCATGCGGGTCAGCGAGGTGAAGCCCACGTACCGGAACTCCATTACGGTTCCGTGCAAAGTGTGGTCCAAATTCGGCAACACCTTCTGTAAATACGCGGAGGAAATGAGAAAGATCCAGGAGAGGAGTAGAGAGAAACGGGCCTCCGAACTGCTACCTGAGGGCCCGCACGGCGGAGATGAGGGCGACGATGACTGACGCGGATTTTAAGAGAGCAGAAATGAAACAACAAAGACAAAACTGAACTCTGAGAGAAAACGAGACTTTGAACCGAAAATTGAAAGAGAATTTCCAAGGGAATCACCCCACACACAACCTCCACAGACATGGCAGCACCTCTGCTGTCTCCTCGCTCATTTTACTGGATGTCACCCCACTTACCACCCATGTGACAGTAAGCCGCTGCTATCAAGGATTGAACTGTAAGATATGAACTGTTTCCTACTTGATTTAAATGACAATGACCAGAGTGTTTATATCTCTATCAAATGACAGATTTTGCACACATCAAAGCTATTTCGAGAAAAAATGTTTAAATGTTTTCAAACTGGTCATATACTAAGATTTAATCAAAAATACAACCAGAGGTCTATTATATAAAATGACAGTCTTCATGTAGAACGAGCATTTGACATCAGCACAAAGAGAATATATTATGGACTTTATGAAACCAAAATCTGATACCAGATGTATAGTTTATTATAAAGGTACGCAGAATAAATATGAAAGCGCTCTAAAAGTGTATGAATTACAGAACGCTGCACTACAGGCCTGTAAACACCTGTCAGCATGCGTTTTGAAAAGAAGTTTGGCAAAGTAGGCTATAGTCTTCAATTTGACCTAAAACGTAGTAGGCTAATGAAAGCATTTCTATCATGCCATTATGGGAAGGTTGAGACTCAAATAAATAAATAAATAAATAGCCTATTTTGTGCTGCCTCAAACAAATGGGATAAATCTCTAAGCTACTATAATGAATATCAACCCTCTTGCACCATGTCCATATAAACGTAAATGAAAAAAGTGCTAACTTAGATGTACTAATTATGATTTTGTGAATCAGCTGTAAAAAATCCTTATTAAGATACCCACGTTTTCTGTGGGTTAAGTTTTTTCTTTGTTACTTTGTTGATTTTTTTCCTCTGGGAGGGTGGGGGATGCAAAAGGATAAGGTCCACTTGTGGGAGCGCAAGGCGTGGAAACAAAACAAAAAAAGACGCGTCAGCGCAGCGTGCGGTGAGGCAGCGCATCCTCTCTGACGTCATTACGACCCGTGCCTTATACACTCCACTCGTTTACGTGTTCTCACGTGGATGGTCTGTGACCTCGACCGCTGTACGTTTTCATTTACGAGTGCAGTTATGTAGGCCGAAATATATACTCACCAGGGCTGCAGGTTTCACACCCCTGTGGTGCATGGAGCATGGGTTGCAACAGCAAAAGTATGCTGAAAGGCTGCTGGGAGCTTGGAGGCCAACTATGGTAGTGGGCAGAAACAGATCGGGCCCTTCAGATAGAGGAAGTGTAATTGTGTGAAACAGGAGGGGGTTCAGTGTGTTATGGCACCCTGGAGCCCAGAATTTTTAGCTTCGCCCCTGGCCTGGTGGCCTCTCTCAGAGTAGAGATGCATCTCTGTGGACCAGGAGTACGACCCAGGATGTACTGCCTGTGGTAGCACTGGGTGTCACCATGGAGATTCATCTGGAGATGTTGCGCGTGGCTTTGCACACCATATGCACCATGATGTAAAAAAACAATAAACAATGAAAAAAACAGCAACAACAACAAAACTAAATCTGGAGCGGCTGGATGAGGCTATTCGTCAGAGCTGAGATGGATGCTGTTAAAGAGCCAGGCAGCCAGCCAGCCATGCAGGCCGGCCGGCCGGTCCCACGCCGTCAGTCTGAGTGCAGTCCAGTGGATGTAGAGGCCTATCAGTGCAGGGCCGAGGCAGTATCTATCTCTTTATGGTGCTACAGCCCCTTGATCGCTCCTTGGGGGCCTCGCCGCTCAGAATATGTCACTTTTATTTTTATTCTGATGCTCTTTTTTTTCCCTTCAAAGTTCTTTTCTCCACATTATGTTGTCCAAAACGTGTCAGGTTTCTCCCTCCCAGGCAGAGAGGAAGACACTGACTAGTGTAGGATGTTTCATATTAGTGTGCAATATTGTGTACGTGCCAATTGCGGCATTGTATCACATGTATAGACTATTAAAAGACGAAAAAATGTATAGGCTATGTGATCAGTAGATGTTCGAAAGCATGACAATGAGGTTGATGCATCTGCATTTTATTTCCGAAATGTGAAGACTTTCTTCTCAAGCACTTGCTCAAAGTGGAAAAAAAAAAAGTCAGACTAGTAGTGGGGTATTTTTCACGTATTTGTCACGTTCTGTAAACCAGTAGGCTGCCTTGTCTGTCATCAGTGCGCGTAGACTAGTTCGGGTGTTTTACGTCCCCCTACGGAGTCACCCCAGAGAAAAACCCTTCCCCTCCTAGTTCCTCCCCTAAGGCACACACACACACACACACACACACACACAACGAAGACAGTTAACACCCTCTAACTGTCTCCATGTCAGGCACTCTGCAGTGGCCTACACTAAGGTTGAATAGTATCTTGGGGCTTGGGTCCAGGGGTGGTTGACTCACACACACACACACACACACACACACACACACACACACACACACAGTCTCTCCCTGTCGAGGCCTCTTGTTGCTATCTGAGTGTTTGGGAGGCCACTAAAGTATTTTGAATGGTGTCTAGAACTGCACAAGGCCTCCCGTCATTAGAATCCAGGAAACTGTGTGTTTGGAGCCTCTCTCACCCGGGACTGCCGATCGCAAGACAGGTGAACTACATTTTGACTTTGGCAGTCACGGGTTTCACTTGAGTTAGGCGATAGGGATCAACTGCAGCAGACCCAAAGGACGGAGGAGTTTGTTGTTTTGACAATGAGGATCACTATGCTTCTTTCTAACATGGGCAGACTCGGATCTCAGGTCTGCTCCTCTCCCCCTCTCGGAATTCAAAGCATTAAAAAGGCCCTGGCTCATTGTCCATGCAGCAAAACATGCCCAAATACGCTCTGTCAGACACACAGTCCATTCCCTCTTTTTGACCCAGTCGACCTCTAGGCTGTCAGTGAAGTGCTAGTTAAAAATCAATATACTCCAAGTGGTTAGTTCACCTATCAGCTTTATTTAAAACAGGTTGGCCTGCCACAGCGGGTATGTCTGAGCCTGGTCCCAGGCCCTGTCAGAGTGGTGGCACTAAGGGGAAACACAGGCTGCATGGATTGCAGCTTTAGCTTCAGCTGGATAAAAGCTGCTAATGTAGTTACAGCCTGGGCCTACCAGACGTGGGATAGCTGAGGCTAGACTGAAGCAGAATTCCCCCAAAGCACACCTGGACTGAAACTGTATCAGAAGTCCCTTGTTTTTAAACGTAGAGCTGCGTTTGATTGGGCGTGCCTGTGGCAATAGAGCCAAGAAAAATGTTCCAGAAAATCCCATCTGTTCCACGCAGGACATTTTTGGCCCAGGTTTGTTTGTTGTTTGAGTGTTGGTGAAAGGCCTGATGAAGCCTGGCACTGCACTGTAGGAGCTTACCAGCGGCAGCCTACCATGACCTACTGACCCGGCTGTCAGTCAGATCCAGTTAGGACTTTTCTCTCTGCTTTGGCGAAGAGCAGGAAATTTCTTTGCCCTCTTGCGGAGATGACAATATTTCCTCACACTGCACAGTGAATTATAAAAAGCCCATTTCCATTAAACACACATAACAAGCCACCTATGACTATGTGCCCAGCAAAGCACATCTGAGGTCAGTCTGAGTTCATCTTGAGTTCAACATGAGTCTGGACTCTCTATTTTGATATAGCACTTGTTCCCTAAAGTGTTCTAGCCTCCAGGAGGCTCATGCTACATGAAGACTGGAAATACAACACTTCCTTTCTGTCTTTCTCTTACTCTGATGGCCAAATATAAGTCGAACCTGCTCGAATGCCTCACTCTGTAAAATGCACACATTTTCTTAAAGATTAAAAGAAGTGTTGATTTGTTTTGTTGTGTTTTGAGAGCAGAACGATCCCATTGTGAAACATGACTCGTCCATTTTGGGTCGTAGCTGTATCTGAGGTACAGAGGAGGAGGGCCACCTGTGATTTTGCTGAAAACAGTGTGATCGAGTCTGATTTCTCAGTTTATGAGAGCTCACCCAATGTCACAGCAAAACCCTGAGTGACCTTGCAGCCATGTTGTGCCCACATTCCACGGTCATCCATTTCTGGGACTCAAATGCAAAATGGTAGGCAGATGTTTTTCGTCTTGTGTTCTGTATAAGCGTCAGTGGTCAAGCTGTGCGCTGTCCCCAGCAGCACTGGCTAAGTTCAGTGTATATGGATGGCGATGCACCGAAGCTGTTAGCATTGACGAGAATTATGTTTTCATTTATTACACAGCGGTAGCCATCGTAGCAATCCCTAATCATGAAGTTATCCTGCCTTTTGTCTGTTACTACTGCAGTGTTCCTTTTGTCTAATTTTATTTAAAGTAGTTTATTTCTTTTGTTGCTTAAACAACAGATGACCAGATCATTCCTTAACATTTCAACTGATGGAAATATAAGATAAAAATATAAAATTACATTGTATACACAACCCAAAAGTAGCTACTTGTTGCATGTACTCAAATGCAGATTGCTATGATGGCTCCAGCTGTAGATGCTTCGTCTGCTTGTTCCTTCTGACAGCATTCAAACAGCCACATGTACATGACTTATAACAGCAAACTTCCACAATTGAAATGTGGGTGGTGGGTACCCGCCTCTACCAAACGGTACAAATACTGACTTAAAACAGACTGAACTTCCATAAAATATTCCAGACAACCAAATCTGCTCTGTTTCTGGTTTCAGTGTTGTAGTCTTTCATTGGCCATTCAGAGTTCCTGGTTAATCACACAGCCAATCGCAGCCTCTGGTCAAAGCCAAGCACTATATGACTCATCACAAACCACTGACAGAGGAGTCCATTCAGCACGTCTTCTGTTTGCACACGCACCGAGTAGTAGGGTCCATCATGTTTGCAGACTGTATAGGCTCCTGTTGTGTATAGTTATAAAGACATTCTTTCAAGATGTTGGGAAATGGATCCTGGATTTCAAGGGGTGGGGTCAATGCACAATGAACATATCCCATGTCACCGTTTGGTCTAAATCCCTTTACCATCCCCATATGAGATAATATGTTGTATCTTTCAAAACTATTTTATCTGTGGCGTGTGTGTGTATGTATATATATATATATATGGTTTGTTATATATGATGCTCCTCCTTTCAGAAAAATATAACATGTAAACAGGAAAAACATATTGCTGTTTTTTTCCTTTGTATTTTATACTTACAAAAGCATTGAATAAAAATGGATAAATACTTGCACTTTAGATATATTAAGAAAAATAAAAATCTGCATATTATTTTTGATAGGGATCTCACATTCAAAGAGTATAAATTACAGGCTTTGTGACTATTGCTGGACAGAGATGTATTGAGTTCTACTTATTGAAGTATATTTTGTCTGTGTGTCAGAAGGTTTACTAAAGTAAATTGCATGATAAAGTAGTGCTACACCGATATTGTTCTCTTTTTTTTTTTAGTTGGTAAAAATGTCTGAAAACTGTGATAACAACCCTCTTGTATCATGTTTAACCTCTCCTCACCCCTTCTAGAATATTTCTTACTGAAATATGGCCTTTCCTGACAACATGACGATGGTGCTTACTTTGGCTTTGACATCAAGCTCATCCTATACATCTCAACATCATCATAACTCGCGTCCTTACACTTCATTACTTTCTGTTATGTACTCTCACTACCTTATTAAATTTCCGTTGATGGCAAAAAAAAGGTGTGCTGTTTTGTACATTGCTGTTTGTTTTAATGTTGGGGGAGCCTTGTTGTCTGAAAAATGACTAATCGCGCAATAAAAAGTCATTCCACACGTCCCTGTCTCTGCACAACTGTCTCAACACTACAGTCAACCATGTTTAGCAGGGATGGACTTACTAAGTAAAATAAGACTGTTGACTTATTATATTGAAAATCTTAAATGTTGAAATAGCCTTTGCTATCTTTATGTAAATTAACATTGTTTAGCCCCGCGACCTGACCCCGGATAAATGGATGAAGATGGATGGAACATTGTTTAGATACTTATATTGATACGGTGTAGATACTGTAATGATGATAATTATTTTATGTTTAAAGGATTTATCTATCAGATGTCCTTGGAAAGCTTCTTTATTAATGAATAAAAAATGCACAGAGCACAATAGGAGGGCAAGAACAGATGGAAACAAAGATCAGATTTTAAACAGTGTACCAGACATCTGCTTTTGACTTCCATGTGGAAATCAAATTTAGAGTGCCGGATTGTTGCCACTGTGGGAAAGAGGACACGCTGTTGACAAAACAGTATTAACTGTTATCGGCCAGGTGAGGATTTTTCAGTTGGCAGTGTAGGCAACAGGTCAGCACACCAAAAGCAATAAAACCAATGGCAATTCACATTAAATTCACATTATAACCAGCAGATTTGGTGACGGTAATATGAAGAACAGAGGGAGCTATGGGAACAAACTGGTAATATATTAGGATGATTCATGTGGTATTTCAACCATAAAATGATTTAGTTCATATTATTAACAAGACACTGCTCAATAATGGACATGTTTTGTAGGAATTTGTGAAGTGCTGTAAACATTTCAAGGAGTGACTCTGACCCTTCCATTATTACATTGACAATAGAGTGGTCATATAGCCTACAGGGGTTTGGTATAGCCATTTCTTAACATTTTCAGAAGGTATCCATTTCATTTGAAAAATAAAGTGCCTGCTTTTTCAATTCTGAGGCCTCTTTGCACTCGTCTGTGCTATATCAAAATAATGCAATTACAGTCTAAGGGGAAGTGAAAGTCAAATTCAATTTAAGTACATTTTGGGTTCATGTATGTGGTCTAGTGTTTGGGCTCTGTTATAAACTAGCTGGGGTTATTTAAAAAGCTTTAAGAGCAGGAACATACTGGGTTCACCTTCCCCTTTAAACACCAAGCTGGCAAATTAACTTACACTTTATTTTGGCACGGTTACATGAAAACACATGCTTTTGACAAAAACCATGTGGATAATAAGACACACTTAAATAAAACAAGCTAGGCGGTCACAACATATTGTGTATCATATTGAATTAAAAAGATAAAGCAATAAAAAAAAACAATTACATTTGATTATTTTCTTAAATTTTTTCACATGATGCAGTTGTTTTTGTGATTTCCAAACGTTGCAGCTGAATAACGGCTCTTGCAACTGCTTTTAATTTTACTAACTATACTGCTACCCTTAAAAGGAACAGAGCCATTGTTAATTTTATTGGTAACATACCTGCAAAGTTTACTCAAGATAGAGTAACAGAGTAAAGCATAAATCTTACTTTCATGCTCTTCCAGCAATTTCGTGACCACAGAGTTATTTTGCTACTTCTTGTTGATAATGTAACGCTAGCTACTGACAGTCTTTTGTAATTGGGTGATAAGCCAGGGATCATCAAGTTTGTTTTGTTTTCTTTGCTTTTTAGGATCATCAAGTTTGTTTGATTCAAAACTGGTAACCAGTGACGTACGTAATGCGTCGCAGCCTGTACCCGACCCCGCCCTCCTACCCGAGCGAGTGAACTTTAATGAGTGGGCAGGTAGGTAAAGACCAAAGCCACGTTTCCACCAGAAGAACCCGGATATAAAACATGTAAAGAATAAACCCATCAGGCGCTGGAAAAGAAGATAGTTAATGAAGGAAAGAAACAACAAGCATAAGGTGTGTTAAGTAATGTAATCCTTACCAGATGATGAACTTCTAGCGACAAAACGCTTCAGTTTTTTAATAAGACCTTTTTAAAAGGTTGTAAACACATGTGGATGCAGGTGTATCCGGTATAGCCACGTCCCGTCTGTCTGTTGGCCTTTCCACAGGGAAAAGTAACGAGATCTTCTGCGTGTGTCCAAAAGCAACAAGGCTCAATAATTACATTTAGTTAGATTAGAAACTAAAACAAATACATACTAAGCATAAAGCTGAATAGATTTACCCCTAATTTACATTAATTAACGAAGCATTATTTTCTGTTTACAATAAATAAATAAAAAAACATATTCAGGAATGAAGTGGGGCTATTTTGGTGATGGTGGAAGAAATGATGAAAGCACTGGTAAGTGAAAATGTCCCCACTGCCTTCATTTTTATATAGTTAATATAATAATAGTTTTGTGTGCAGCCTGTACACTGTGTATTTGTACTCCAGCAAATAAAAATGTGTTTTAATTTTCAGAAATGTTGTTACTATACACTGCCCCTGTCAAATAAAGTAGTAAACTAAACTAAATCACAATTCACTGTTATCTTCTTGTACTTGGATACTGTTGCTGTTAAGTTAACTATAAGTTGCCAATTGTACATTATTAGCCCATGTGTTTATTTACAACAAATTGACCATATGTATGATTAAGATCTAATGATTAATGCTTTAATCTAATCTACCTCAAAATTAATAAACCAACAAATCACAACAAATGTTAATGTTTTTGTTTTATACCAGGCCCATCATCATACCACACTCAAGCTTTGTCCCTATTGACTGGTTCCAGTGATACAGTTGGTAAGCTTCCTGTTTCTTTATCGCTGATGGAAAATTATATTGCATGTGCACAAGTAGCTAAAAATGTTCAAAGTAATTTTACCCCACAGCTGGTAACTGCTGATGAATGCCAGCTGACGTCTGTTTCCGGGAACTTTGCTCCACCTCAAGTGATCCTTGTTCAGTGGCCGTCCAATCTGTCTGACCAAGTAAGGACTGCCTCGGTTTGCAGGGGTCCTTGATTTTAATATATTGCTGATTGAACCTTTTAAATCTTTGCGCGCAGTGTTCTCTTCAGGTTATTGGCCAATTACATTTATTGTGTACAGTAGTGATTTGTATTGTACAGAAGTTCTTTTGCACTTTACATGGGGATTTTCATACTGTGCAGAAATATTACCTTGATGTATAGAGAATGCTGTAAAAAATCAGCATTATCTATACATCAAGGTAATATTTCTGCACAGTATGAAAATGAAATGATACATATAAAATCAAACTAGAATCTTTTATCTTTCTGCTACATCAAAAGTAGATGTTTTAATACTGCAGGTTTGGAGCCGCTTCTTTAAATACAGTCTGTGTGACAAACACAGGTAATTTAAAGGTAAGTTTTCAACACTAAGAACTCAGACAAAAACAAAGTAGAAGTAAAAATGGCATGTGTGGTCAGTCAGTTTTAATTTGAGTGTTTCAGTGAGTGTATTTAATTATCAGTAAAAGAACTGCGACCCATTATGTTGCTAGAGGTACAAATAAAATGCATAAAGGTTATAATTGCAGGTAGCTGGTTCTATGAATACTTCACTATCTCCAAAATGACCCTGCTTAGGGTCACCAGAAGTACAGGGTTGGACATGCTCTCTCCATTCAAATACAAGAGAAGAGATTTTTAACACACCCACTGTTCCAAAAAAATTAATATTGTAGTAATTAAATTTTCTTTCTATATTTTCCTATGCTCTTTCCTTATAGACACACGCGGGTAGCTATATAACCGTCACACTATGTACTTACTATGCTATGGTATTAAAGGTTCAGTGTGTAATATTTATGAGGATCTATTGACAGGAATGCAATATAATATCCATAACAATGATCTCAGTGGTGTATAAAGACATGTTGCCATGTTGCACCGCCATGTCTCTACAGTAGCCCAAATGGACAAACGGCTCTACAGAGTGCATTTTGTCACTAGGTTAAATACCTACAAAGAAGAAGAAGAAGAACAAGAAGTAACGTTAGTAGTACGAGTTGTAGTCGGTTTGTTAGAAGTAAGAAAAGAACATGTGCTACACGCAGAATTTTAAAAGGTGTTATGATGCAGACACCCTTTTTGTGTGAAGTTAATGTAGTTTATTTGTCATGGTATGATACATAACGTAAACCATAACACATTAAATATCATGCTAGGCTAGTTTTGTGAATGTATTCTTCTGACTTGGGTTGCAGCCAAGCGCTGAGATACGTACTGTAAAGGTGAACTCTACAACAGTTCCAGGATGGGTAGACACTGTATGCTCTTACAAACTCACAATTTATTGTCTGTGGCTATTAGGTACTTGAAAGCTTTGGTCAAGTGAACAGCTGTTTTATAATGGATTTGACTAATATGCTAACTTTAAAGCTCTGCAGACTAAGCACATTAATGAGCATCCTCCAGTGCATTTACCCATGTTGGGTAACACAAAGTAATGTCTGTGGCACTCAAATAAGCAATTTTTTTAGCACAGCGTTAACGGTCTTAATAAATCACAACCACAGTCATCTGTATAAAAGCTTACTTTATGAAGCACAGACTAAATATTCAGTAAATATGTCCTTTACATAGTATGAGCATCCTGTCAAAAACAGTTCAGATATACAAACAAACAGACAGATCCAATGCTGACATCAAAGTGCCGAAGTTGTCATTTTTTAAATAAAACATAACAATCAACAAATATTTTTTGTCACAACCCTATATTACAGCACAGGCCTACCCTAGAACATCGGGAAACAATGGTTAGCACAACAGCCAAAGTGACTATAAGGGGAAGTCTCCCTGTAAGAAAGCAGTTATTCATCCTATCAATACAGCTTTATAAAATGGTACTTCCTCTCTGAAAACTCAGCTCCACTTCAGCATTTTGGTCTGTACAAGGATCCGGTTCCAGGATTCCAGCCAAGTCCCAGAAGGATCTCAGATCCCATCAGTCACTATTAATATGATATAGGAAGAAGCAGAAGCGCCGTGTCCAGAGCCAAAGATATGATTGTTCATACGGTCGATATCCACAGCTCTGGTGATGTCAACATGCTTCTGTGCCACACTGAGGCTGAGTGAGGGGCACTAAGCTCACTGATCTACAGTTGTGTCGTAAGCAAATTACATAGAAAGAGGAAAGGTGTGTCTGTGTATGGGTTTGGATCAATTAAGGTGCTCACAAACAGCGATACTCCACCACATCCCCACTGCCTCAGAACGTTTCACAAGTCCTCCTTCCATGAGAAACAAGGTTTAATATATTGTTAGTTTAATATATTGTTAGTTTGGAAAAAGGTGTGCTGGATGTCTGTTTTGCCAGTTCTTGGCTGACAGAGGCGGTCTTACTTAGAAAACCAAACCAGTCTCCTCTTCTTAGAAAAGTCGTCTATTCTCCTCCTCCCCCAGGTAGAGGATGTTTTGATGGCTACTCTGCTTGTAGAGTTGTTTTGCTGCTGTTCCATTCTCCATTCGAGAATGCCGACATGTTTCTTCACCTAAGAACAATATGCTGGAGCAGTCCTGCTGCTACACTCCCCAATCAGCCGGCCTCTGTCTTAAGATTCACCATGGCCTGCTTTCCCAAAAACATCTTCATCTGTTAGGAACAATGGCAGTGGAAGGAGTACACCAATACTAGTAAAATGCCCAATACGAGGCCAAACGAGCTACAATACGTCCACTAAGTTGTTATAATTCAGAACGTGGATTGGTTAGAGGTTATGGTACATCTGTTGTCACAAGGAATGTGGCTGCCCTTTGCGCTGAAGATGATTTTGAGAGATACGGGCCCGGTTGTGACGGCAGTCTTATTCAGCAGAATGCCATTGGATTGTTCCTCACCAAACATGCGCAATAAATTCTTCATACAAAAACATGACCCTGCTATATTTATTTCTTCCTGTTGCCTACAGCGTCTCAACTGGAACCACTTGAAAAGAGCATGCCAATGCACGCACACATGCATGTGCACACACACATACACCAGCTGACCCACTCATACCGTGTGCCTCCCACCCACACCTTCCCGTTCTGCCCTTCATTTCGATCTTTAGAAGCCTCACACCCAACCATTTATTGTTACGCATCAGCTCTATCAGCTCAGTGCACTCTGTCGTGATATAAGAAGAGTGGTTTGTGGGATAAAACAGAACATGGCACGGTGCTTTCATCCAGTCACACACACAGTTATCCTCTTCAGTTCAGATTTGAGTTGTAAGGAAAGCAAACAGAATAATTGAATACATGTCAGTATTTGGGCTAGCGGTGGCTTAAAAGTCTCAGAAACAGACTTGTGATCTCTCTGACAAGTGACTGACTAACACTCTCCAAATCCCTCAACAACTAGTGTCAAGGTGCCCTTGAGTAAGGCACTCAACCTCCAGTTCCTCTGGTGGAGCAGCTTAGTGAACGGCTAAAACCACGGCTGTTCCACTTGGCAGCTCCTTTAAACTTACAAATGAATGTAACTGTATGAATGTCAAGAAGGAAATTGCCGAAAAAGAGCACGCATGCTCAGTGTAAACCCTTCCTGGGGTGAATAAAGGTTTGGAGAATTAAATAAATAAATAAATAATATGTTATACATGGCAAGGACTTGATCCTTCTGAGAAGTTCTTTGAGAGTTTTTGTAACTCTGGGACAGATATGTTGTATCTTCACACACCTCACTCCACCCATACTGTAGGTCCATACACAATCATGTGAGTTGCTGGGTGTGTAAACATGAGTGGGAAAAAAGGCCTAAATGCTACAGTAGTACCATCTTCATCTGAATCGCTGCCTCACTGCAGGACGAGGACAAGACAGGGAGGACCGCGGCAAACCAGTCTGTCTCTGCTTGTTCTATATCTGGATTTAAAATAACACATAAATTACTCAAAGTTCTGCTCTTAACTAACAACACATTTCAACTAAAGAAAGCATCCTTCTGAGTTTCATTTCAAAATAATACTGATGATGTCGTTATAAATAGTGATCACAGTTAGGATCATTTTAATGTGCAATAATAAAAGTTCAAAGAACTGAGGTTTGGCAGGGTTACTTATTGGGTATCAAGTGCGGGGCTCTTCATCATCTTCATCTATTTCTCTAGGACAGAAACTTATCACCAGGGTTGATAAATTCTGGGAAGGATAGTGATAGAGTCATTTCCTCTGTTGCTGCCCACTCTCATACTCGAAGTACAACAGGAGGAACGGAGGAGCCCAAAACACAAAATACTAACAAAAAAAGCCCAATACGAAGTTGGAGGATTAAGCTAGTTTGGCCTGGAGAGGTGTTGGTTTGTGGGCTCTGGTCCTCCTTCCTCCCCTCAGCTCCTCTGTCCTGGGGCAGTGCATCCAATGGCCTTGCCGTTCAGCCCGCCCTGAGCCTGACTGATGGACGGGGAGGACCGCGTCTTACGGAGTTGGCATTCGCGGCTGGCCAGGCCACCCTCCATGATAAGGCCACCCATGAAGCTGGCCTCGATTTTCTCAAGGTCGTCCGTCTCTGCGCGGATTTTCGCCTGCAGGAGGCTGATGTACGTCTCATACCGAGTCTTCTGCTCAGAGAGAGGGGAGGAAAAATAAGACCAAAAGAAGATAAAACAAGAGGCGAATTTCCCGATCTAACAGTTATCCTGAGATCATATATTTGCAACCTGAACGTCTTCCTTGCTACAAATAAAACAACGACAAATGATAATGTAATTAAAAAATAGAATGCATATGAAGAGAAAACAGAAATTATTTTGGTCTCTTAGCTGCTAACTGAAAACAAAACATAAACCTCATAAAAATCAGACATAAAACACCAGACAAATTAACCGAAGCTGTGTAAAGCCTGTACCTCATACGTGAGGTAGTGCTCTTTGAGCCGGTACTCCTCCCACTCGCGGCTTTTGGGGTCGGCTGAGGGCAGGTTTTTCCGGTGCTCCTCCAGCTCTAGGCTCATCTGCTTCAGCTTGCTCTCATGACTCAGCAGCTGATCCTCCTGCACCAATCACAGCCCGGACATAAACCGGAAGACCCCCAAAACAGCCAATCAGATGCAAGTAGACACAAATAGAAGATGTAAAAATGCCCACCCTGTGTAGAGATTTTTCATGTAGAAGGATTTGTGCATACTGCAGTGATAAACTGTATATTATACACAATGCAAAATGTCCGTCATAACTAGATTGTGGTGTTTGATGTTTCTACAGGAAAAATATAAGCCAGTCGAGTGTGATAGCTTATTTTGTTCCTAATGTAGGTCATCTTCTGTGTGTGTGTGTGTGTGTGTGTACCTGATTGAGTCTGGTGGATGAGGACGGCAAGATGGGCCGACAGAATTTCTTCATGGAGCCGATGGCAGCGGGGAAGGCCGGAGCGGAGAACAGCGCTGCCACCAGGTTTATTCGGAATATCCAAGACATCATCTCCTCCTCACTACTGCAAAGAGAGAGAGAGAGACACTGAGAAAAAAACTGAGAAACAGACTGAGTGAACACAGCCTGGCCATAGAAAAGGGTCGCCACAGACAGAGCTGGCTACCACAAGAGGAGAGACTCTGCTCCCAGTGTGACAGGGGACAGGTAGAGACAGAGCTGCACTTTCTAACCTCATGCCCTAAATATAAAATACAAAGACAAAAACACTTTGCATACATTTCCCAAATATACCACGAATTCGAATTCATATCAGACACACAAAAACTCCCCTATTTACTGGGTGAAATGCCCAAATGCGAAATAATTGCTGCAAAATATCTCTCCTCATGCCATGAAGTGAGGACAACCAGTGGAACCTCAGACTAACAAATAATTGTTCAGATTTTCATATTATTATTATTTTGATCATTTGATATTTTAGTAATTGTTTTGTTTTTACATTTGATACTGATTTCTTTTTATTATTTTTTAATCAATTAATTCTTTAAAAAAAAATGGTTTTTTTGTATATTAATATATACACACACACGTTACTGTTTCATTTATTTATTTTATTATATATTTTTTAACACACACACACACTTACTGTTTTAGTCATGCCAATAAAGCTAATTTGAATTGAATTGGAGAGAGAGAGAGAGAGAGAGAGAGAGAGAGAGAGAGAGAGAGAGAGAGAGAGAGAGAGAGAGAGAGAGAGAGAGACCACACTGACACAGGTTCTTCTACATAAAAAAGCCTGACCGGCTGCTGAGTTCACTGAGTGTAATTTGAATTACTTCATCTCTAACTAGAATCTACTATTATTTTGTCGTTACAGTGTATCTAAATTTGAAATCTTTTAGACTTTAAATTTAATGAGGTTTTAAACAAAGACACTGACTTATATCACCGGTGACTGCCTTCTAAGGAGTTTGATTCATACTTTGAAACTTGTAAGTTTGATTAAATCAAAATGACACATTATACACAGAAACACAATAAGATTCATCCTGTCATCATAAATTCCACTGCATGAGAATTGAAATGACAGCGGATTCAGGATTCACCTACTCTATGAAGATGTAATTAATTATTTAGAAAGAGCTCATCATCATTACCATCCATCCTTTCCTCCAGCATACATCAAAATGTTGCATGATCTTTGGGCGATGCCGTAAATTGAAAATGTGAAAAAATTCCTAAACATACATGTATAAAATGTAAAACTCCATCGTATTTATCGTATTTCCTGTACTTTTGCATTTTAACTGTCTGAAGCGAAATGAAAACATCTGAAATTCGACGTGGATGACTCACGGGGCCTGCAGCAGAAAGACTCTCCAGTCTGAGGTTTTCAGCTTAAGTACGTTGGCTTTCTTGCTGTAGTCGGTGGCACGAGTGGCTAAAGCGTGGTGGATCCGCACTGCGTTCTTCAGGTCCACCTCTGAAATGTCAGCGTCAGGCTTGTACTCATCCTTGGTAAGTAACAGAAACAGGAAAAAAGGAATAATATTGATATGTTTCAGTCTGTTTAGTGATTTAGTCTCCTAAAGCAGAGGACAGAAGAGATGCTGTGTATCTGTAGTATACAAATACCTAAATTGACAACTGAGGAGCAGTCCGCATTAAATTAAACAGTAAACCTATAAATTAGCAGCTCCTTTTACATAACTCCATACTTACATAATTAAGGTAAAACATATCACACTGCTTGTGACAGAAATAGAAGCTAATTCAATTCATCCAGGTTGAACATTTCACACCTCACATGTTGTCAGTACAGCCTTTCTACCAGCAGGGGGAGACAAACATGCAGACATGCCTCATTTAATGCTCTCACACCACACACACAGAGCAGCATCCACCACCACCGCTGTCATTGCGGTGGTGGATGTGTGTTTCTATGGTAACGGAGCAGAGGATGAGATGCAGTACCTTCTGGAGATACAAGATCATTCCCTTCAGAACCGCATAGAACTTCTTCCAACCACGGCGACCCCTCGGGGCTGGAAGAGAGAAAAGTAAAGAATGAAAAACCTTTCTGTCAAATTACAATAACTTATTAGGAATTTGGTAACTTCTGTAAAAGTGTGTGTGTGTGTGTGTGTGTGTGTGTATAATCACTCACTGCGTTTGCCGTCCATGTCAGCGTGGCTCTTGCGGGTCAGCACTCCGTGTTTATAGGTTACGGCATTTAAGAGAATGGGAATGGCGATGAAAGGGTTAGTGCCGTCCGTTACCCTGGCAACACGCTTACTCCCACCCTCACATTGCTCCTCCACCAGCTCTGACAGACTCTTCCTCAGCTCCTCCTCTTCACTGCACACACAAATACCCATTCAGATAAACTGGAGTAGCACATAGCCAAGTGTACTTCTAAAAAAACTTGCATACCCCAAATACTTTTCCTTTTCATGAATACAAAATGCATACTCACACTGCCCACTCAAGCTTCTCATTCTTGATTGAGTTGTACAAAACCTGTGCGGGCAAAACAATTTGAAGACATACTTCAATTCAATTAATCAAGCAGACAGATAGCTGAGCTCTCTCAGGAGGAGACCTGTACCTTTAATAAGTCTTTAGGGAAGTCTTCGCCATTGTTGAGGCCATCTAGATTACTGATAAACTGTTGGCAAGACATCTTCTTCCCAATGTTCTGAGGAGAGGAGAACAACCAACAACAAACAAAACTATCAGTTCAAATTTCACCTTGACAAAATACTTGGCAAAGATTTTTCCTTTATGTGTTTGGAGCCTAACTGGTCAATCTTAAGCTCAGCTCAGTATCGACAGAAGCAGACAAATACTCTAAAGCAGCTGTATTTCAACCCTCTTTTATCTGTGCCAACCTGAAAGCAGTTTTGCAACCATCCACTGGGTGTCAGTGTTGTGCTGCTAGTTCTACTAGTAGTGGTGGTGAGCGTGGATCCACCTCTGTTAGAGGTTGTCAGGTTATGTGTTTACCATAGCTTTCCTATTGTTTTAACCTGTAATTATGATGCATCATGGGGTAGGATGAAACCATGGGCAGGTTTCGGTGTGTTTCTATCCCTTTCTGCCTAAATCAACCCTGTAACCGAAACAGATACAGATGTGAAGCTATTTGAATTTCGATATTAAACTGTACAGGGATAAAAGGAACAGATCAATTACATTTCTTATTGCTAATCCCACTTATTTTAAGAAGAATAAATATCAACCAAAAATCAGCCACTGACCATTTATCTTTGGTAAAAAAATATTTAAGCAGCCATTATATGTCAATGTCAAACAACAATGATTTATAGATTAATGTGTCATTGTGTGTGCCTAATTTTAATATTATGACTCAAATTCTATTGTTAGTTGAAAAGAAGAGGCACGGATGGCAATGAGGACAGCATCAGTACTATAATTGTACTTACCACCTGCAGGGGCAGAGAGATACCAGGGGGCCAGATTTGGTTAGCAGGGGAAGGATTTGTAAGGGAGGAAAAGGACAGTGAAGGAGAGAAAGGATATTAGTTAGAGGAGGGATATTCACAAAAAAAAAACTATTAGCATGAACTGCGTCGAGTTGAGCAGGAGGCTCGAGGAAAAGCAAAGCACAGGACCTATGATACTGATCGTGTTATGTTGCCTAGACCACAGTGCTCCAGTTTAAAACTGAACAGATAAGACTATTCGAGGAGAGGAGAGACAGAAACAGGTCAGAAAGTAGGACGCGGAGGAGAAGGAAAGAAAAAGAGGAAAGCGTAGACAGAAAGACAGGGAAAGAACAAGAAATGGAAGTAAATGGAGACATGCCATTGCTGACAAAGGATTGCAGGAATGGGAATCCCGCCCAACCAGTCCAAGATAGAGAACTACAGTACATACATGTCCGTGTAGATCAGTGTTGAGCAGCATGAGGGCACAGGTTAATGTGTGAGCTCCATCTGCAACCGGACAATACACAAGGCCGTGGTCAGCTGAATGTTACAGCACTCCTCTACACACACACACACACACACACACACACAAATGCAATGCCATACATTCCTTTAACATACATGCAGACAGATCACAAACACATCTGCAGAGCTGCATGAAAAGCCTGCTTGCTAGTGTTGATCTGAATAGATTTGGTATTTACATTTGAGACGCAAATATTTGAAGGTTTATGCATATAGCACCAACGGGGGTCAATATGGAAAACTGTGATAGTAATAAATATAATAATTTTACAATATCGTCTTTCATTACCATCATTGTCAACATCATCACCATCGTTGCTCTGACCTTCAGAGGTGGGTGTCTGTGGGTTGCACTGGCAGAAGCGCCTGGAGAAATGTACAAGGACCCTCTCTCTCTCCTGGGTCTCTCCCATCAGTGGAAAGGCCTTTAAGAAGTTCCTGTCACAAAAATGACACCCCGAGGTCAACAGGAGATCAAACGTTTCACAGCAATGCAACGCTGGAAAATATCTGATTTAATCACTTCTGGCAGTACAGACAATTTGCAGAGGAAAGCAGCTTTGTTGAAAACCTTTTGAAACATTTTACTCTAAGAGAACTGCACTTAACCAAATTATAAATGCAACAGCATTTCCATTTTCTGAAAGCTGAGTCTGACATCCCAGTTCCTGCATGGCCAACATATGCACCAGGCAAGTCACCCATTGAGCATGTTTGGGATGCTCTGGATCGGCGTATACGACAGCGTGTTTCAGGTCCTGCCAATATTCAGCAACTTTTCACAGCCATTGAAGAGGAGTGGACCAACATTTCACAGGCTACAATCTACAACCCGATCAACTCTATGTGAAGGAGATGTGTTGCACTGCGTGAGGCAAATGGTGGTCACACCAGATACTGACTGGTTTCCCGACCCCCCGGACCCCACTTATATAGTGATACTGCACATTTTCGAGTGGCATTTTATTGTGGCCAGCCTAAGGCACACCTGTGCAATACCCATGCTGTCTGATCAGCATCTTGATATGCCACACCTGTGAGGTGGCTGAATTATCTTGGCAGAGGAGAAATGCTCACTAACACACACTCTGACAGATTTGTGAACAATATTTGAGAGAAATAGGCCTTTTGTGTATATAGAGAAAGTCTTAGATCTTTGCGTTCAGGTCATGATGAATGAGGGCAAAAACCGTTGCGTTTATAATTGTGTTCAGTGTATAACAGCCAAGCCTGTCTTTTAAAACTCTGCAGCATATTTTCACAAGGAAAGATTGTGTCATCTTTTTGTCTGTGTGTGTATCTTATTTTGAGAACTGGCTGCAAATAACGGATTTGATTTTGTAACTTTATGCCAGAATCAACAGGTTTCATATAGGTTGTACTCCCACTTTTATATTGTGCTTTCTGAGGTCCAAACACAGTCTATTTATCAATTAGACAGTAAAATACCACAATTATTATTCTATAATTGAAATTCTAGCTTTTGTTATTTTCATTTCATTTGTTATTTTTGGGATTTGGACTTTTGATATGAAGACATCACTTTGGAGTGAATCTATTTAATCAATAATTAAAATAATCCTTTCCTACATTAATTCTCCCAATTTTAAATTTGTTGTAGAAAATAATACTGATTGAAGTCATTTCTAGCCGTCAGTTTAATGCAGACAACTACAGTAACTTTCATTAAAATCAATTATATAATAAAATCTAACCATTATGATGAGACGTTAACAAGAATATTTAATTTCTACCAGACATTATTATGGCTGACATCAGTGTGAAGACCTAATGAAGAAAATGATAAGGAGTCTAAATTGCCAAGATTCAAACAATACCCAAATGAATGTCACATGTTACTTTCTAACAACAGTATGCTAATCTACCCCAGTCTGAACTGCGTTAGGCCTCTAAACTGAAGGCAGTGGTTTGAGACAGCAACATGTCAGGTACAAGGCAGTGATGTACTCCGCAGCTGTCAGCCTCACTGGCTAACTGTACTCAACACGACAGCTTGATTAGCACAACGCTAACGGCTTGTGAAGAGGCAAAGTGAAGAGTACACATACAGATGAATGTGTATCGATGTCTACATTACACACTCATCACTTCCAAAGTGCTGACTGCGCATTACCTCAGGGCTCGATCCAGCGACAGGCCGGTGAAATCAAAGAAACTCAGGTATTCTGATGCCACCAACTGGCTGAACTCGTTACTGCAGAGGGACAGAAAGAGAGAGTCAGCACATCAACGTGGCACTGAAGACGTATGAATGTGTTATATAATGTTTTCCTGACACCGCTGTATTAGACAATGCTCTCCAAGTGACGCTTTGAGAAGTAAGTAAGCTTGTGCAGATGTCTTTGATTATGTGTTCACAAATCAATCTAGTATTCTTACATGTACATCTGTGTGTCTGTCTCATGTGCGTGTTCAAACGCACCAAACATATGTAACTATGTAAATATGTTTTCCTCTGTTTCTGGTGATTTATCAGTCCGTCCGTCATCGTGTGTGTGCATGTGTTACTGTGTGCATGTATGCTCACTTTTTGCCCAGGTGTCTGGCCACATCACAGCGTTTGAAGCCCTCGAGGTGATAGAGGCGCTTGGCCAGCCTCTTGGCGGCCTCACAGTCGGCTCGGCAGCCATTGGCCAGAGTGTCGGTGCTGCCGCGCTCCAAACGCTCCAGACTGCCCAAATCACACTCCTCTGAGTCAGACAGCACGTCTGTGAGGTTGGCATCACTGGAGGAGAAGAGAACATACGCATACAAACACAAACACACAAGTAGGTGCCTAGGTTAATGAATGGAACACATGTCCGTGGTTTCTCGCCCACTCACTTAAAACTAGACAGAGAAAACTGAACTGCTGTGCATGAAACTCAATCACACAAACATATGTTCACAAACAAAAGTCAAATGAGGTTTAAATGAGTTGTTTGACACTGACCCAGTTTCACTGTCACTTCATTTCCTACTTTAATGCAGTGAATCTACTGACTGATGATAATGCTGAAGCAGCTTTTACCTGCTACAAATCTCTTCTTAAAAGCTCCACTAATCCCAGACTCTTAACCTCTAACATAATTTGAATTAAAGTGCTATAATATAAAAAAAAACCCGAAAACCTCAACTTTTCTGTTCCTGTATTTCAGGCAGATGTAGTTTGGAAGTTGGAAAAGTGGGTTTTTACATTTTTCCGCAATGCTCTCTCTGGCTATGAAAACTCATCAACTTGCCCTTGAGCAAAACAGTAAATTGTCCATCTCGTGCTCATTGTCTATGACTAGGCTGTCTATCCCAGCTGCAAATGGGTGTATCTGTGTGACTATTAGCAGGGCAAAACACTGAATGTACTCAATCACCCCTGCAGGAACAGTTAAGGTTAAGAAAAAATAATATAAGTTGCCAAATATTTGAAGAGAGTGAACACGCAGCTTTAAGAAATGACTTGCAAAGTCTGCATGAATGAGAGTTGTTCGTGAACCCTATTTGTCTCAAACTCACATGCACTGAAAAGTTGTTTAAATTAACTGCAAACTATAGGTGATTATTATGAAACCAGCTTCACTCGCAATGCTACTGAGTGAAAATAATGTTTGTAGAACAGCTTACTCATTTAAAAAGAAAAGACTACTTGAAGGCTTAACATTAAGAAATAAGGCCATCACTGCAGACTACGACGCAGTGTCTTGCTGAAGGACACAGTTTGATGAACTGTCTAATCAGGCCAAGGTCGCACACTCTGTGTAACTGTTTATGTAGCATCAAGAGAACATCGATGCAGAGTATTAATTAGCATCATACTTATTTATGACTAAATGAGGTAGTTTGATTAAGATATTGAGCTGTATCCACTGTGCTGCATTGCACAGTATACTTGACTTTACGCTACAATCCATCAGTGGGAAGTTAATTAGCCTTTTTATTGTACTTTTATTGTACATCCAGTGCTGATGGTTTGGTTTTGATTACAAGTTAAAACAACATTTATTACTTTTGCTACTTCACTCACTTGTGAAGCAAGAACCCTTTCTAAGCCTCATTGACATTTCTGAAGTGTTGTCTACACATCTTATTTACAGTGTCCATAATGCATTCTTCCAACCCAACAGACAATGCTGAGAGCAACAAACTCAAACCGTACATGTGCTGCATTTATCAGTAAATCAGCACAAAACAGCAAACTATCTCAGATTTATTTCTTAACAAAGAGACAGCATACGTTCACCTCCATCTGCCTAAATGGCATTTCCTCCTTTCTTGTCTATGTGTGCATCTGCGTGGCACCATCAGCATACTCGCCAGATGATTCAGATGTTTTTTACATAATCTGATCAGCCTAATTGCATTACCCTCACAAATTCAATACATTACACACTGTTGTCGAAAGGGATTTGCTAGTTACCATGGATACAGCGGAAGCCAAATGTCCTGTACTAGAAGTAAGAAGTAAAGACGTTGTGAACCACCTTAAGGCTGGCAATCGCAACTTTGCATTGTGTGGCAGAAACAGGCATCAGGCAGAAAACAGAGTAATACAAAAGATCGACAAATAAACAAAAACACAAACAACAACACATTTTCATGGCCAGGAGTCAGTCCCTTGCCTTCACATGCTGAATGGCTGACTGCTACACTGTCCCAGCTGACCTCTACACAGGGCCCTCATTCACTTCACAGGGCAAGGTTACACTGTCCTGTCTTAGCTGATTCATTAGGCTCTAAGATTTACTCTTCATCTGGTCCCTGACCTTGTACAAATTTGCCTTGGGAGACGCTACAAGTAGCTACTGCTCCGAGCAACACAGTTACCGGGGTCACAGGGACACATAAACCCTCCACCATGATGAGGTGGGTCATGCAAACTCCTGCACCTTATTGAGGCGGAGCAAGAATGACAATAAAATTGCAGATATAGTCGGGGAAAGCAGTTTCATTTGCAGGGTGCCATGCCTTATCCTTGGGGACAGGGTGGGGAGTTTGTATATCCGGAAGGAGTAAAACCACTACTCTTTCATGTGGAGAAGAAGCCGGTTGAGGTGATTTGGGGATCTGATAACAATGCTTCCTGTGCAGCTCCCTCTGGGGGTATTCTGGACCTGTCCAACAGAGAGCAGACCTCTGGGCAGACCCAGACCCTGCTAAATGGATTACATATCCCACCTAACCTAGGAAAGTCACAGGAATCCCCTTTGTGACCCAGAAAAGTGGTAGAAAATGTAAATATGCGTGGATGAAAATATATACACACAACACACACGCACATGTGACACACACAAAATAAAACGAGTCTGTGGTAATCCATCAAAACAATATCTAGCCCGGTGTTTGCAGTGAAATTGCTTTCGCGTCTGACCATCACTAGGCCTCATAAATCATTCAAAACTCATAGCAGTCATGGAGCTAAAATGATGCCGGGCTCCCCCAATCCACTGCTGTCTGGCAATAAGAGAACCAACACACACACATAAACACACACGCTCAAAAGCACAAAATAATAGTGAGAGAGACACAATATGAAGTGTCAGATATCTAGCGCAAGCCCTTTTATGCCAAGATACTTTGCGATATAGAGGGGCACACAGTAAACCTATTTGTCTATCTAAAGGCACAATTCTGTATCCCCAGGCCACACATATTCACTCAATGTGACCGCCACTCCAGTCTGACTATGTAAGTGAGTCAGAGAAAGAAGGCATGATGGTGCATGCCAGTGACTCACATGCTAATCACTTAGGCTGTGCACCGCCGGTACCCACACCTACAAGGTGTGTCTGCCTGCAAGGTGTGTGTGTGTGTGTGTGTGTGTGTGTGTGTGTGTGTGTGTGTGTGTGTGTGTGTGTGTGTGTGTGTGTGTGTGGGTGATGGGAGGAAGGGGAGGGTTTTAAAGGCATCTTCCATCAGGGTAATCAACTATTTGGGGATTAACTGGATTATGAAATTCTGTTATTTCACAGACTTTTCATTTATTTAAATATATTTTGATAGTGAGTGTGGTAGACATACCATAGAAACACACACATAGAGGAACTCTTTGTGTGTGTTTGTGCAAGTGTGTCAGCCAGGTCACCTGCTGCGGCATGTAGATGCAATCTCTGCAAAAAACACTGTTGCTATATTGGACTCTTGTAAAACAAACACCTCCAGCCATAAAAGTGACACAAAGTTACATGTGCATTAATTGCATTTTGTTTTTTACACTCTTTACTGACACTGTTGGGTCATCCACTGAGGCTGTGATGGGTAAAGACTTGGCTCATGTTGACTCTGTAACTGCAGTTCAAAGTTCAAGTCAGTCATGAAAATAACCATAACCAATAAGTCTATAGCTACAAGTCCAAATGTAATGCATTACAATATAATTAGAGCTGAAACAATAATCCATTAATAGATTAGTCCCTGAATAATAATTGATAATTGATTTAAGTCATACATTTCAGGATGTTTCATTCTTTATTATATTAATTGTATTAATTATTATTATCTTATTAATTATTATATACAACAATAATTGTAAACAGAATAGTTTTGGGTTTTAGACAGTTTCAAGCAATTTGAAGACATCACCTTGAGCTCTGGGAACTTGAGATGGGCATTTGTCACTATTATCATTGAAGAATTGACTGATCAAAAATATAATTGATTTATTAATAATGAATGTAATTAAGTTAAGTGCAGCCCTAACCTCAAAATCACATTTTATTGCAAATAGTCATGGGTAACTTGTGGAAAAATAACTATAGCAACCTCATAACTCTTGACTTCACTACATGCCATTTAAAATTAGAAGTCCTGATCAAGATCAAATGCATCTAAATCGCGGTTTACGTAATTTTTAATCTCAATTTTGTTATCATAATCCCTGAATAAATACTACATAAGTAGCCCACTGTAGTGATTTTTCGTCAGATTACCTCACTATTTCCATTTTGCCACGCAGCATAATGTTAATGGTCCCACCCATTTGGACGTGAAAGCTTAAACCAATTCCTGGTCTGTTGAAGTGTTAAACTTACAGGAGTTGCAGCAAGAAGTCGAAATGAACATCATATTCCTCTTTCCACATCGTCTCACGGATCTTGAAAATCAGCGGTTAAAGGCGCGCGACGGTCCGACCGCCTCATCATCCAGTGGTCGGTAAAATCTGCATTGGCCCGGGTTGTTATTAAACTTCGAGCCAAATCAGATTTCTTCAAGCGGAAGTCAGATCACATATAAGTACAGCCTATTCTGAGATGAAAAGATGAGACTGGCGCGTTGTTTCACCATAGTGTCAACAGGCAGGGAATGTGTTTTGAGGGTTTTCCTTGAACTTTCTTGGCTGTCTAAACGCTCCGGAGGAGAGGATGTTGGGGGCGGGGCGAACGACTTGCCTGATGAATTACTGTTCCTAGTGGTGGCTTTACAATGGCTCTGTGTGTCCCAGCCAACACAACTTCCTCTGCATTTAAGTGAAGGGCTCTGAGCCAGCAGATCAGTTCAATATCAGTGGGACGTCCTGTATTTGGACTTTTGAAGTTTTACAATGCTGCTTTCCAGCATGTGGTCATTTTACTGTATGTGGCTGTATCTGTAGCCTACATTCCTCCCCTACATATTTTTAAAAAGCTCTATTTTGCAAGAGTTTACCACTGATGAGGGTGAAAAGAGGACGTCAAATTAGGTGCTTAGCTAAAATGTTATGGGGCAGGATATAAGCATAAATGTATTAGCTCATTAAGGTCACTGACTGGAGGTCAG